TTCCAAAAATCACGGAAGTAAAACAAAGTGTAATCCCGGCAGGGGCCGCTAATTTCCATCGCAGTGGTCGTAAAGGTGACGGAGGGGACATCTGCGAAAAGTCTTCTGGATAAGATCCACGTTCTCACGGCTCATAGGAATGAGGATATTAGGAACAACAAGCTTGTTTGTGTCTTCACTTAAATTTCAACAACTGAGAATGCCCCGGCCTCCTCCATCATTAGAAGAGGCAGCTGCAAGTGCTTAACCCATTGCAGAGGTCACGCATGAGATTATCAGCTGCTATTGGAAACAAACCCATAAAGGAGTACAAACAGTATCTCCTCCAACAAAACTACCTGTTGCGAATTTGACAAATATGAACCAAATGGACTGCTGCACGGGAACGTGCCAAAGGCGCCCCCTGGATTCTACCCGTACTTGAACTACTGATTGGGAGAAAGCTCTGAGGCCCTTTAACACTACTTGCAGTTGAATTCGTCCCTATGGCAGATTTCTTAAATACTCTTCCAGTTATGGACCTGATGGATGAGTGGATGATTGGATGGATGAGAGGATCAGGGAGGCTCGGCTGCTTATGCCACTTGTGATCACTTACTTTACTTAATTTGTTGCACATACTGGCGCCGCAGAAATCGCCGGAGCAAGTGGACAGCGTTTTCCCATGGTGTGAGTTCAATACAGTGGGAAAGAATACTTGTGTTGTGACGACCTAATATTGCTGGCATTTAGACATAAAAGACTACTGAGTATTAGTAACTAAGTAGCATTTAATTCAGGTACCGTGTTTGAGGTACTTTACTTGAGTCTTCAGATTGTTGCTACCTGTGTACTCTCTCCCTGAATGTAATACTCTTTTAGTACTTACACAGATCGGGATGGCGGAATGATGGTGAAAAATCTCAAGGTTAAATCGTACTTTAGCCCACCGATAAGTCCACGAGCTTACCCTGCAGTTATCCAAAGTCATTCAAACTGCTGCCCGTTTAACCAGCTTGAGAACACTCTTCATCAATCCTTATAAAAATCATATATATTAATCTGGAAATTGACCAATCTGCCACAATGGACTACTTTTTCTGCTACTACTTCCACTTATTTTGATGAGGAATACTTTTTACTTTTAACTTGAGGAACATTTGAATGCATGACTTTACTGTAACAGGTATTTCCTCCAGCCTCTGGTACTTCCTACTTTACTCAAGTACAAGACTTGAGTACTCTACTTAACTCAAAGTGCAAGATCCTGGAGTAACCTTTTCATTCTACTCAAGACCGATCGAGTACTTTCTATTTACTCAAGTACAAGATTCTGATTACTTTTACTTCGTACCAAGTTACAAAAGTCTGTAGTATTCATTTTTTACTCAAGGAAGATCTGAGTACTTACTTCTACTCATCATACAAGATCGTAGTACCATCTACTTTAACTCAGATCGAGTATTCTACTTTTACTCATATGTACGAAGATCGAGTACTTCTTACTTCTTTCAAGTACAGTCTGAGTACTTCAAACTTTACCAAACAATATCTGTCAGTACTTCAACTTTACTCAAATACAATATCTGGATTATCTACTTTACTCAAGTACCAAGATCTGGAGTAACTCTTATTTTCTCAAGTACAAGACGAGTACTTCTACTTTTAAGTCAAGTACAAGATCTGAGTACTTCTACTTTACTCAGTAGCAGGATCTGCGTTCTTCTCCCATACTCTGTAAAAGAAAAACATTGGTGAAATAAATTGAGGGTAATTTTGTTTAAAGTTGTCCTCTGAGAATGCGTCGTAATAATTACTCCCTCTCACACAACACAACAAAAACAACACTACACACACACCACACACTCACACACACCACACACAACACACACGTGTATAATCTCGACACTGCCAGTTCCTGTTGGAACACATGTATCAGCAAGGGTTAGCGCTGAATTATGCCAATCCCTCAAAACTAGAGACTCTGATCAGATACCGATACGTTTTTCTGTCTCACGCCCCTCAACTGAAAACCCTCTGCGGGGGTGTTGCAGCCGGTTACGTAACCCGTTGTAGTAAAGGGCAGCCTGAACGCACTTTCTACTGAGGCTGTCTGTGTGAGAAACAGCCGATTAGCTCCCAATGCAACGTTTGTATACTGTGTAAACTCTTATATGGTAAAACTTGTGAAGTCAGCTTCAGTCCACACAGTTGGGTTATTCGTCTTCCACGTTAAGAGAAGTTTAATCTGTCCATGTTTATTGGACTCTCTCCAGTTTGATTAAATGCTTAAAGGACACGTGTCCCTCTTTAATTCGACACCTACACTGTTTTAAACACAATGTTAGCCTTGTTGGATTGTGTCGAATGCATGATAGGAACATGAGTACACTTCCTGGATGCTCTGGATCTCTCCTGCCACCTTGTGGTACATTTCAGCAGTGGTTTCCAACATTTAATTAGACATAACCAGTGGTGTAGTGGGGATTCTTTTACTGGGTGGACGGGGTGGGGGGGAGACACTATGGACGCTCTCGTGAACTGTCAACGGGGGGTGGGGGTACACTGTGGACCTCTGTCGCCTGTCAGCGCAACTTACATGATGCCGTTTAAAAAATATAATAATAAAGGGCAGTGCCGGCCTTTCTGCGCGACTGTCACTCAAATGCGGGACATAGTCTCAATTTGTGGGACGCGGGACAAATGATACAACTGCTGTGTGTGCAGTCCCACACAAAGTGGGACACCTGGTCACCCTACACACACACACGGTGCTGCCCCTCACACACACACACGCTTCAATCAAGTTGCATAAATACTTGAGCTACGTTTTTATTATATTACTGGAAATGTATTGTTGAAGTCATTATTACAACAAATACACATTTGCAACTGATAACACTGGCAAAGATTTTATATTTATTAAAATCATGCTTAAAAAAAGTGGGGGGTCGGGGATCCCCCGCGTCCAACGACCACTACACCACTGTTTATTCCTATGTTTCCAGGTATAACAGAAAAAGACATGAACCTAAATCTTGGATCTGAAGAAGCGCCTGAACTCTGGATTCACGAATACGTATTTCTTAAGGGAAGTGGAGGAAAACAAAGAAAATCTCCATGAATTAATTTGAATTCTTAAATATTTGACAGCTGTGAGTTTAAGCGTTACGGGTTCTAGTTGTTCTTAGAGGGTCAGTACAAAGTCTGGTTCTCCTTCTTCTTCTTCTTCTTCTTCTACTACGAGGAACACGAGCACTTTCTATGAAGCTCACACCTGTTCTTCACCTTTAACCCTTTTATTAGTCTAGTTGCAGATCATAGTGAACCCAGAAATGTTGAGTACCCCAAAGTGTTATGATGAACATAGAAACTGCCGGATGATGACCTGCATACGTTGGGCAATGTGCACAATTAGCATAATTTGCATTAATTACCATCATGGCTTGGCTGATTGGGCAATTTTGGAGGTTATTGAGGATCTTGAATCCACCTCGGACATTTTTAGGATCATAAATGTCAGTTTTAACCAGAAAGTGACAATATTTGTACTCTGTGGGCTGATTTTGATGAATTTTGGGTTGATTTGGAGGTTTTAGGGGACTCCGGATCATCTGGATTGGACAGATTGCTTTTTTATATGAAGAAAAGTTGTCAACAGTAGAGGTAATGATGTTCATCTTGTGCTCTCTACAGTATATCCAATGGTTGCAACACTACTCATGGTGGTCGAATAAGTCCACAGAGACTACACATATGGCCCTTTCTGGTTAAAACTGCCATTTGTTACCCTGAAAATGTCAGAAATGGATCCAACACCCTAAATAACATCCAAAACCTCTCAAAAAGTGTCCAAATTGAAAGCCATATTTTAACTATTGTCCACATGACGCCATTAGGGTTAGGGTTAGTTAACACAACTTGTGCTAATCGTTCAAATGACCCAACATATGCAGGTTAGCATCCGGCAGTTTCTAAGTTCTGTGGACCCTGCTGTACATTTCTAACATCGAACTTCAGGGTCTCAACATCTCCAGATTCACAATGCTGGCACTATAAACCTTCATCATGCTTTAACTTCAGGATCCACATGAAGCTGATCGTCGAGGACTTGTTGATATTTCCTGCGTGAGCTTCTTAAAAAGTGCGGCGGCCTCTCTCTGAGTCTCGCTGGTTCACCAGTCTGAAAGTCTCTCTAAGTGCTGGAGTTCCAGGTCTGTGGCGAGCGCTTTTCACGCCGGTTTTTTTCTGCAGAAACACAAACTGTACGACCCGGTTTTAAGATGACGAGGTGACGTTCCCAGAGGTCGTCGTGCCCCTCGGCGAATACTCAGCTTCGTCTTTGTTTGGGTGGGAGGAGTTATCCGACTTGCTGCGGCTGAACTCCACCCCCATGACCGGCCCCGTGAACTTGGACTTGGGTCGAAGGCATGCGGTGCAGCAGAGCAGCGTTTTGAGGAAGGCGCGGCGCATCTCGTTGCTGGTGAGCGTGTAGATGAGGGGGTTCATGGCGGAGTTTAGGACGGCGAGAGCCAGAAACCACTCGGCTTTGTAGAGGATTGGGCAGCTGAGCGTCTCACAGGCGGCGTCGAGAAGCAACAGGATGAAGAGCGGAGCCCAGCAGGCGATGAAGCAACTCAACACGATGATGACGGTCTTCAACAAAGCCATCGACTTCTCTGAGCTTTTGATGTTGGCGCCAGAGTTCCCGCGGCCGTTGGACGCCTTGCGGAAGACGAGTTTGCGACTGCGCGTTCGCACCAAAGCGTAGATTCGGGCGTACAGAACCACGATGGCCAGGAGGAGGATGCTGAAGACGGTGGTGCAGAACAGGATGTAGGTCTTGTGGTAGAGCGGCAGAACGGTGGAGCATCGGGTCATGCTTTGGATGCAGTTCCAGCCCATCAGAGGAAGACCGCCAAGAACCGCCGCGATCATCCACACCGTGCTGATCAGCAGGAAGACGCGGCACGTGTTCCCGTTGTTGTGCAGCTTCATCTTCAGCATGGTGAGGTGGCGTTCGATGGCGATGGCCAGAAGGCTGAAAACAGACGCTGCCAACGCCACGAACATGCTCCCCTCCCGGCAAAACCACTGCGTTGGCGTCAATTTGTACGTGTTGGCGCCGGAAAGCAAGATGTTGGCGGTGTAAACGACGCCGGCAAGCAGGTCGGATAACGCCAGGTTCCCGATGAAGTAGTACATGGGCTTGTGGAACTTCTTGGTCCTCCAGATGGTGGTGAGCACCAGGATGTTCTCCAGGATGATGAAGCAGCACACGATGATGAAGACCACGGAGTCCGCCTTCAGGCCCGAGTCCTGCTGAGGCTTGCGGTATTTCCCGGTGAAGTTGTAGTGTTTGGCGATCAGGTCGGAGTAGCTTTCCTCAGCCATGGCCCTGCAGAGCAGCGGGGGGTCCACCAGGGGGCGCCGAGTCCTCACACTTCAGCCTTCATGTCAGCAGGTCATCCTGAAAACTAGGAGAATAGACCACATCAACTCAGGTCTCAAAAATCTGCACTGGCTTCCTCTTACACAAAGGATACACTTCAAAATTCTACGTCAACGTACAAAGCACTAATGGATTGGGAGTACGTGTCAGAGATGCTATGGACAGTCTGTACATTTCCAAAAGATATTGAAGTGACTGTTATTTTGTATATATTGATTGTTGTGCTTTTACTTATGTCTTAATGTGTGCATATGTATAAATGTGTCTGATGATATACATATTTTTACATTTGTATTCAGGATTGTGGGAAACAGTATTTTGATCTCTCTGTCTGTACACACAAACTGAAAGATTGACAATAAAGTGGACTTTGACTTGACTTCACTGTTAGAGCCAGAGCTCTCTTATCATCAGGAGGTTTACTCGTTGTCTCCAGAGTCAGAACTACATTTGCTGAGGCAGCTTTTAGCTTTTATTAATTTAACCACAAGCCTGGAACAAACTGCCTGAAATTCTGAGGTCCTTCAAAACCATGGGTTCCTTTAAATCAAGATTAAAAACCTTTCTTTTTAATGCAGCCTATCCTCAGATCCTTTATCATTGCACTTTTAGCTGCAGCCCGTATTTTATCGCTTTTATGAATTGTCTTTTTTTTGTTTTTGTTTTTGTTTTTGTTTGTGTGTTTGTTTTGTTTTAAATTATTATGTATTAAATGCCAATGTGGAGCACTTTGAATATATACAAATAAACTAACCTTGAACCTTGAACCTTAAAGAAGAGTCCGGGGGGTGGGAGGGGCATCGTCCTGCAGGGGNGGGGGGGGGGCACAACAGGAACATTTGAATACAAATTATTAAACAAACAAGGTGACAAAAAGACCGTTAAGCTGTGAACTGATCAGTCAACAATCTACTTCCTCCAGGTTTAAGTTTCATCTCAAGTCAGTCTGTTAGAGATTCAAATGTTTTATTGGCATAAAGCTGCAGTGTAGAAATGGCAATGAAATTCTTCTGACCTGAGCTCCAATAAACTGTATTTATAAGCTCGTTAGTGGAGGAAACATCTTTAGGAACAACTTCATAAACACACTCAGAGTCCCTTAACCAGGATCTACACTTTGACTTCCCTGAATGTACTTTAAATATCCCTTTGAGTCACTTAAGAGTTAATAAAACAAACTTTTACGCGTGAAAAACCGGCGGAAAGTCTATAAAGTGCCTCCTATCAGCTCGTTAAAGGCAACTTTCAAAGCTGTTGTTGTACAAACGGAGGGTAAATCTGTATGTGATTTACTGGTGAAGCAGCCGATCAGCTTTAAGTCACTTTAAGCGGACAGACTGCTGAAATGTTTCACACTGAGTTAATAAAACCTCCTCAAAACTGTTTTTTATTGCAAAAAATGTCCCTTAAATTAAATGTAGATTTTATACTTTTAGCTTTGTTTTATATATATATAGAGAGAGAGAGAGTAGCCTACAGATTGAAGACATATAACTTAGAGTCAATAAGGAGTTCATCAATTATATTCCAATGACTGAGTCTTTGCACGAGGCTCATTAAAAACAACTTTAAGCACTAAAATCGCGTTTTTTAATCCACAAATTGTCCCTTAAATCTGGAGATCGTACACTTTTACGTACATTTCAGTTACTCAAACAAAGCAAAGTGCTGAAATGAATCCATTGACAGGCAATAAAACCTCCATTCATGATTCTCAAACGAGTTTTTAGCCAAGTAAATGCCCCTTAAATCTCGCCACAACTTCCCTTAAAGCCACATTAAGGGTTAATAATGAAACGTCTATATTTATGTTAAAAAACTTTAAAGCTTTCTGATAAATAATAAGCTTTTCAAATAACAAACAAACATTCTTAAAAACACATTTAAACATGTTACTTTATAGTGGCTTTCCTTAAGTTTAAGGTCCCTTTAAGGGCTGCCGAAATATAATACAGGATAAAAGAATATAATAATAACGACCTCGAGCACATTACATCTCCTCCAAACATGAATTGTTTACGTTCAATTGTTTACGTGTTTAAATGGTTATTCTATATAATCCGTATTAATACATCGATCATTGATTGGTTCTAATTAACGGTTAAATGTTGTTCAATAGGGTTTGTTACGGCATAAATGAATAAAAGACGTCCCTAGATCAGTTCATATTATCACTACTTTAACTCGTGTTTGTTTATAATCGTTTTCAAATCCGTTAACGTGTTATTTATTTATTTTCCGTTAAACCCGGATTTCTTTCATCAAACCAAAGAAACGGCTTCTCGAGTCTCAGCAGGATAAAAAACCCTCTAAATAAACTTTATTTAAACATTTAAAGCAACACGAACGTTTGTATCGAAGCTCTTTGTAAACTTTAGCGGAAATAAAAACTGACTTTAATTCAAATGAAAGAGAGATTTTTACCTTCAGTGAGAGTCCGGAGGAAAAGAGTCCGACAGAGAGAGCAGCCTGAGAGAGAACACACACACACACACACACACACACACACACACACACACACACACACACACACACACACACACACACACACACACACACACACACACACACACTCTCTCTCTGAGGATGAGGAGGATGAAGATGCTCCTCCTGTTCTCCTCTTTGTATTTGTGGTCCTTTTATTCTCAGTAGAAACTAAGCAGGTCAAAAATTAAAAAAATTAAAAAAATTAAAATTAAAGTAAACATATGTATAATTAAAATTAAAGTAAACATATGTATAATTAAAATAATGAAAATAGATGAATAAATAAAAATTGTACAGATTCCTTCAATTTTAAATTAACTTAAAAAAAACATAACAAGAAATAATAATAGAAAAACGGTATACACAAAATAAAAACACAAAATTACAGAAGTGAATTGCAAAATAATTAATAAAAACAAATACATATATATTTTATAATCATCAAAATCAAAAAGGGTAAAAAGGTAATTTTGTACATTTTGTTTAAGAAAATCTGATTTCTATTGATTTAAATGTATGAACAAATGGCAGAAAAGTTACTATAATAATAGCTAATAATAAAAATATCACTTCTTTTGTTTCCATGGTGAGAACTGACCAGCTGATCACCCCCACCCTCTAACATTGACTCTAACCTCTGACCCCATTATTAGAGGTCAGCAGACATTGCAATCAGTTGAAAGCTATTTGCGTCCCTTTATGAAGCTGAAGGAGCCTAGGAGCGTCACAACTGCACGCCACGGGACCCTGACCAAACGTCGCTCCTGGACGATTATGGAGTGAGAGTGTGTTGCAGCAGGGGGTTATTTCGGGGGGTGGATGCAAACAGAAGAAGAGCTGGAGGTTAAACATTAACTCTGATGGAGTCATCTCAGCTCATTCAGAAGTAAACATAGCAACAACAACAACAACATACACAACGTAAAAAAAACTAATTTCTGCATTTTTTTTAATCTATCCTCATTTGATCAATTTAAAAGATGGTTTGACACAAAGATATCTCATTGAGGCACGAAACACACTACCAATATAAATACATTGCTTCTAAAATCGTTCTGTGTCGGAATACTGACATCTGTATTTTTTTAAATCTGATTTTCCTTCTAATTTGTTATTATTTACATTGCTTTTAAAATCGTTCTCTGTGACACGAAAAAAATGGCGAAATCGTGTTGGTGAACACGAATCAATAGATTAATTTTGTGACTATAACAGGCAATGCCGTGAGACTGCTGTCGGACCAACACGGCGACGACGTCAACAACCATATAAGGAACGCTATCTTTCCTGCACTGTTGAGATACCATATGCTAATGTGGCACGAGCTAACGTTAAATGTTGCCAACCCAAACTAATGTCTGTTATTTTACAGAAAATGTAGCCTTGAGCTTCTGTTAGAAGACATTTGACAGACTTGGTGTTTCAGAATAATGAGGTGTCCAATATTGTTTCACCAACCCAGCGAAAACCTCAACAACCAAGTAAAGAACAATATCTGTGTGGACATAGCATAGCATAGCTTGGATGCTAGGAAGATGGTAATGTAGCATATTTCATTCTCTTGCACTCTAGGCGGCGCGTGAGGCTCAGGTTTGGGAAGGTTATATAATTTTTTTACCTGACGCTGCCCGCCTCCGGCGTGTATAGAAAAGAAATCAATTCAGTGACCAATCAGAGCTCAGTGTGCGGAGTTTAAATCTATCAAGTCATATTACAGGATAAAGGAAATACAGTTTAAACTGCCGTGTGCAGAGAAGACGCCGACGTGTCGCACTTATCATTAATATCAGATCATCAATCAGATCATCGATCATACAATATCATAATGTATCATATATCGCCTTATCTGAGTCAGCTGAGCCGTATCTGGCCGTGCAACACTCACAGTGTCACATACTGCAGAAGTATTATTTGAAGCAACACATTAAGTTGAGGAAACACTCGAGTCAAATGTAATGAAAGTCAGATGGTGTCTTAGACGGGGCAGTGATATCATAAACCTGTTAATGTACGCATTCAAACACTTGTTCTGTTACCAGCTGGATTCACCTTGCAGGTGCAGCTATGTGGCTTGCATCCTGGATTATATGTTTAAGTCATGGATGGTTAAAGCTCATATTTGTCTAACATTAGTTTTCTTTTCATAAATGAAGTATGACTGCGCTGTCAGTACACTTGTCCCTGTTTGTGATTGGTCAAATGTTGCTAACCCCGCCCCTTTCACGTGAACTTTAAACAGTATTTAAAAAGTTCGTCCGCGCCGCCTATGACATCCGAAGCCCTTCCGAATGCCGGGCAGATGTGATGGTCTCGTAGTTTCTTAGAACTTCACTCCGCACAGACTCAACCGCTAAAAAGACCTCGTTGCGGCTGTTGTGGTTAGTGTACTAGAGGCGGGGGCTGTTATGTTTCGTTAATCGTTACAATTTTGCTGTCATTTGACTATATTTGAGAGGTTTGTCGCGCTTTTGGGATGGTCAAGTGGTCGACAGAGACGGACGGTGAGGCGAAGGTACGGACCAAGGAGGCCAAACATAGGGCCATTTATCAAGACAAGCATTTCTTTGCCACTAAACGATGGCATTAAGCAGCAAACTGTATACACTCCTTTACTGACGCCAGACCGAGAGGGTCGAAGCGGCCGCCAGAACTAACCGATCGGAACGTGACCGCCCCAAACGTATTTGCCCTAAACTAACCGACTACGGTTCGTAGCTCGGACGGCTTATTACGAGCACTACGAACGGTTTCGGTAACCGGTACGAGTGGGTGTTACGTCAAGCCGGACTTACTTAATGTTTAGAAGATGCAGTGGGGTAAGTTCACTTACCCGCTTCGCAAACCTTTCGTAAAAAGGCTACGGGACACAACATCTGCCCGGCATTCGGAAGGGTTTATAAACACAGTGACGTAGGACCATTTTATTTTTATTTTTATAATTCAAACACAGGAAACTGTAATCACCGACGATACGTGGTGACACAGGACAAGATGGCTTCGGTCAAGTTTTATGGGACCTATACAAACTCAATAGAATTGATATTGTTCTGCTATAGAGCGATTCGCCAGATGCTGCGACCCAATAAGTCGAGTCATTAGTTCGGTCCCCGGCAAAGAGTAGAGCTCCTTTGACATAAAGTTTCCGCTACGATGCACGTAGCTCACGGCGGCTTCGGGACAAGGGTAGAGGGTCGTATGAACCGTTAAGGTGGCTCCCGGCGCAGGGAACCAAACCCCCATTACAAAGCTTCCAACGTGTCTACCCATCTGAAGCGCAGGAATTTTAGGGTGTTTGCGAAACGCGAGCCTGGGTTAAAGGGTTTAGAAACCGCCTTTTGATATTCCGCCCCGGGAGTATACTGCGTGTGACGTGTGAACAGCGGACAAGGTGAGAAACAAAAGTCTTACGGTCCCTTCCAAGAACGGAGCGAAGACTTCGTCTGCGAGTCTTCTGACAGTCACGACTACAACGATGGTTCGTCCGTAGGAGCTAGGGCTAACTCTTTACCGGTCGCAAAGAGAGGTC